ACGTTAGGTTAGGTTTCACGCGCTAGCTTGATTAGGGCCTCCCTCCGTGGCCCACCCCTCCCCCCATGGTATCACGCACGTTTCCCGCCACCCAATGTCCGCGCACGATGATTTTCACTGACTATGTCTGGCCGTGTTGTAGCCACGTGCACCAGCCGCGACACGCTCGCGCCCGCCGCCCGTCCGAAGGTTATGCCTGCTGCGAAAACAAAGCGACGGCTGCTGCGCTTTGCTCCGATGCAGAGTTGCGTCCACTGCTCCGCCACAAAGAAAACGTTTCGCTTTGGTTACGTCGTTATCTCGAGGAGATGCGTTTCGAGCAGAGGCCGGTTGGCGTAGACTTTTTCTTTTCATCGGTCATCTAATTCGCGCGAACGAATATTTCGAAAGGTTCGAATCATTTTTTCCTGACTAAGACAAAGTTGGAATAGATATCGAAAGACCACATCGTATCGTCGTGATACTCGCGGTTATTCACAATGCACCGTTGTGCTGACCCGATTGCGGATTATCAGGCGCAGTAACGGCGATGTGATAACGCCGCGATTCGTACGAATTGCGGACTTGTCCGAGGAGCAGAAATCGCGCGCCACTCTTCGGTCTAGAAACTTTCGTAGACTTCCAATGAAATTCACCCCCTTGATTCGTCCGCGTCCAACCGTCCTACAATACGCGTGTATCCTAAACTCTCGAAAAAGTCTGTCTCACCCTGGCAATATTTCCTTTGGCCGAGGCAGTGTAAGCAGAAGGAAGAGCAAAAAAAGAGACGGCTAGAGGCTAGAGGATGGAAAAAGAGCGCAGAAAGCGAGAAGAAGAAGAATGGAGAGGCAACGGGGCAACGTGCCGGCCGAAGTTCTCGGCCACGAAACGAATTTAACGATCGCTCTCGCACATGGAAAGAGGAGCCCGCAGGAGGAATGCCGTCGGTGGCTAGATGGCTGCGTGCCGTCCCAAAGACAGCCGTGCAACCGAGAAGAAAAGTGTGCGTTAGCAGCACAGCGAGGCAGCCACGGCCTGTGCACCCGTGTCCGCCTATATTTATCCGAGGATGCAATATTTGGCCGCGTCTTCTAGAGACTCGACCGGCCACATTCGTCCCAACTTCGAGCGCGCGGATGGGCGCATGAACGAACGAACGCAGCCTCGGAGCAGCCTACACCTCTCTCTTTCTCTCTCCGTCTCCCACTTTTTCCCACTCTTTCGCTTTCTTTCTCTTTCACCATACCCCTCTCCCCTTTCTACTCCCCCTGTTTGCAGGTCTTTCTCCCTCTCTCTGCTCCTTCTTCTGCTTTATCACAATGAGCGACTGCGTGTGCGTGTCCGTGTCGTTAGGCAGTAGCTGTCGGTGCAGGCGTGGTTGGTTCCTTGCCCTCTGTCGCGTATTTATATCTAGCGAGTAGAGCGAATGCATTGCGGCTCGCTTCTTGTTTGCCGGGACCCGCTTCTCTTTCTCCGTTCCACTCTCGTCCGACTATACCTCGCTCTCTTCATCGCACACTCGCCTCGTCCGCTCGCTCACTCGCGGCTACATGCTCGCGCGCACTCGCACGCTCGCTTACCCTCTCGCTTACACGCCGTGGCCCCGCCAAACCTGCTCCGAGCAACGTTAACGCCTAGCGCCGGCTAATCATCGGGATACCATGATTTTTCTCTGCGGATCGATTTTCCGGCTTTCGCACGATTTTCGGCCTTTACTTCCGCCTGTCTGTCGTTTGTTCCTCGTTACGTTCGAGCGTAACAGTCATCCTTTTGAAAAAATCGTCCATCAATTTCGATTCATGGAGAGAATTGAAAGATCCTATCTAAACACGAGAGAGGAAGAAGGACGGACACCGTTGAAAAGTCGGGATCGAGAAACCATACGGTGTTGGCAAAAAGTAGACCACGGGGAGCGGTCGTATTGGTCCTCGGCTCCATTATGGCATCCTTGGTCGCGTATTACCATTCACTTTTTGTTCTAGCCGGGTCCTCCGGCATGCCCCGTTAAATCCGCTCTAGAAAGAGCACGCGTTAGAGCGTCGCCGCTCCGTACGCGCCTCGGTTAGCGGTTCGCGTGACGAGTTATAATTTTCCAACAGTGTTGTACGACCGCGGCCAGCAGTTCGGAATCTTTCGATTTTAACGCGCCGTCCGCCGTAATTTTACGACATCCGCCGCCGCCGCAGCGCCGCTCTGCGCAACGCGGTGACGCGTCCATGAGCATCGGCCAGGAGAGGATTAAAATAACGTGTAATCGCGAGATTACGCGGTTGCCCTCCTAGTACCTCCGAGTTTCTTTCCTTCTTGCTTGTTTCGGGCTCAGCATTTCGCGGAAACGGCCGATTTTTCTGATGCTTTAATCGCGTTTTTCCTGTAGCCACGCAATTCTTACGTGGATACGGGGATACTCGTCGAACCGAGGCATCCGATCATGAAGGTTGATCGTGCTCGATGAAAATTTCATGCTGGCGAACGAAATTATGGTGATTCTTGAATAATTGTTGTTGGCTCTTTAGACTCT